GATTTTGTTCTATGTAATCAGGAGTTATCAAAGTTTTTAATCGCATTTGTGTATTTCAGCTATCCTATTGATGAAAAGGATACTGTTAAATGAACCCATAACGTTTCCAGGCCGGTGGATGGCCCAATACCCTAGCCACCTCGTTCACAAGATATCACTCCCTTGAACTTCTTTCTATGGGGTTATGTTAAAGATATTGTGTATCGAACAAAGATACGGGACATCACTAATCTAAAGCAAAAGATCAATTATGCCATTGCCACCATTGATGAGGCTATGAACATGGCAAGAAATCGAATACCGTCTTGATGTGATTCCTGCAACTAATGGTGCTCATGTAGAGGTGTATTCAGTCAGTTATATGCCATGCGTGATACACGCTTAGGCGATCATGTATCTTTCGATACATGACTGACGAGGCAGATTTTTCCAGCGGTAGGTTGCCATTTCTTTCTGCGGTAGACCAGTTGCCATCCAAGGCTATAGAACCCTGTCTGTCCTGCTATTTACCCATAGCTGTGGGAAGAAGAGGATTCATACCTTTTCCAAGGGTATTAGCATATCAGTGAATGTAATGGATTCGACTGGAATTCAAAAACGGCTCTCTGATTCCTCAATAAAAGAAACTTCAATATCTATACCTCATTTTGTTAAAAATTTCCACATATTTGTCTGTTCATTTGCTTTTGTAATAAGTTTTTTTTTTTTTTTATAAAGAGACTTCATGGACGTTCTGTAAATTCTTAATATTATTCGTTACAAACCGCGTAAAAAAAATTAATAAATGGTAAATTTAGGTTAAATTTACCTGCTGCAAATTCTAAAAATCTATACACGAGATCCCCCCCCATTTCTTAGTTTAAACTTAGGAGTGCGTATTATACACGGATAATGACAGTACTAAAATGCCAGATAACTGGTGGGTTGATGCGATTTTTAAGTTCCATCCATATACTTGTTCGTTATTGTCGTTTGTCTGAGTTTCATGTTGTTAGACATTTTCATGACGGTCGATCCTCGAGTATCGCACCCAGAGGTTGGCAGTGAATATTTCGGAGACAGTAGGAAAGCGTAGTGGAGGTTCGCAGTGGATATCACAGCAGAGTGTAGTTCATCCTTCTCCTGGTCGCCTTTTGTCCTTCTGGTAGGAGGAAACAAGATGACCGCCTTTATACACGACGAATACAGTGTTGGGCGGCTTCTGATTGGTCAACCTTCTATTGGTCGACTATAAAGGGAAATAAGTCATTCTGACTCGCTCACTAGTTATATGCCTATATACCCAAAAAACCGTAACACATGTTGCCTCATTACTTGCAATTTATTTGCATTTATAGTGTTGAGATGGGCAAGAATCTAGAAACGCGCGCGATCTGTTCTATCGTCAAATATTTGGGCATGATTTGATGCATCATTTTGGCGAAGGGAAGCGAATGGATTCAGGTATGAAAACCCAGTACACCCTGTCTCATATTTGTCTATATTTCTGAGATGAGGCATTGTAACTATTTACATTATTTACATTGTTCAGACTGTTGTCTTCAATCTGCCCTGGTGGACGAAATAAAGGGCTCGGTTCGAAATTTCAATCAACTGAAGAAGCGTACAACGGCGGAAACGTCGAGGATATGACAACAAAGATTAGGACAACTGTCCGAACAATGTAAATAGTATAAATACCTATCTCATGTCATTTGAAAAGTGGGTGTGACTTACCGCCTTACCCTACTGAAGTCATGAAGAACCCAGCATGACACCCATAGTTAGGATGGATTTTACGACTTATTGGATGATTTAATTTCAAAATATTTAAAAAAATATATACATCGGTCTATAGGTAAATATTCGTCATACTTATACTTGAGTCTATAATTAAATATTAGTCTGGTTTATACTTTAATCTGGGTGATCCGTCGGCCTGATAATACAGAGATTAGCTGGCCTTCGTACCAGCCAATCAGATTGCTTCACACATTCTTTACACATCTGGGCTTGTGAAAATAGTTCCGCCTTCTTGGCACTGGGAGTCCAAATGATGCTCCACCTCCAAATGGTTTTAAACACTAGTCGGATTTATACTGAGTTTATTGTTAATCGGGTGTATTCTCGGGTTTACGGGCAAACATTGTTCGATTTTATACTTGAGCTTATAGTTCAACACTGGCCATGTTTATACTTGAGCCTATAGTTCAACATTGAACTCTATAAATAAGCATTTGTCAGGTTTATACCCGAGTCTGCAAACATCTGTTTCTCAGGCAATGTAGTCGGTATTCTCTAGGTCCCATTAACAAGGCAAATGGCACACAGATTCCCCTAAGTCAAGGGGGGGTCATATCCACCAACTACATTACATGTGAGCAACAGCCGTAGTCTAATGGTTTGCAGGTTAGTCTAGTAAGCCATTGCTAATGAGAATTTAATCTACTACAAGAACAGTTTTACATGCAAGAGAACGTTTCTTATACATGGTAGACATTCATTTTATATTTAGCTTGCCTTAGAACAAGGCGAAATTGGTTTTTAAATGGGAGAAATTTTAATTAGAAGATAAAAAGTGTGTAAATATTCCAGGTGAGGAAAGAATGACTACCTTGAAAATTTTGTATTTAAAATCCTAGATTTTAACCTGAATTCGAAAATCGACTTTTAGCAGCCCCGAGAAATAAACACTTATCTCAGCCACAAGGTAATCCAATTTTTTATATCATGGAATCCTCAGGTATTTGTTTCGGTTATTTCTATTTTGTAACCGACTAATTACTCTAGATTGTTCAGCCAAAGAGTTATATTTAGTCTGGACTCTCGGCTTCTGTAACCGACGTAAAGTTGATTCTCTATATATTTTCTATAAATATTTTAATGGCAATTGTTCTGATGAGCTTTCCTCTTTTGTATCTCGACTTTACGAATTTAAGCGTTGTACTTGATCGGAAACACGGTCTCATCATTTTACATTTGAAATAGCTAAATGTAACCGTAAGTTTTATGCTAGCAGTTTATTCTCTTGCGCTTCTCGCTTGTGGAACTTTCTTTCCGGCCTCTTTCTTTCCAGTCAACTTCGATCTTCAAAAATTTAAATGCAATGCCAATCGTTATCCCTTGTCCTCGTAATTCTTGTTCTTTTATTGTTCTCTCGTTTTAATAAAGCTTTTTTTTCTTCATATTCTTTCGCACTCTGAATATCTTTGCTTCATAGTGATTTTATTGCTTTGCTTGAGGTGAAATGATTAGAAAAACATGTTTACCGGAAGTTGTTTTTTTTTTTTTTTTTGTAACAGGAAAACGCTATTATATAATATGAAGAAGTTCCCAGTGTCAACTTTAACAAAATGGCGACTGGATTCAGAGTAGAAAACGTCCATTAAAAATTGCTGGAAATTTTTTCACGCGCCTCATTTAATAAAAAATGTACATGTTGCAAATAAACAAGAATAACATTAATTTTTTTCCCTTATATGAACCATCGATGTTAATGCTTCTTGAAAGGGAGTTACTGAGGTCTAAGATAGTATAACAATATAACTCAGTCTTTTTCTTCTATGTGCCGTGTCCCTTCCAGACATGGAAAATCATAGCTCTCCACAGCTTCCTATCCATTGTAGTTCTTATTAAGTATTATATTTCAACATCCTCCCACTCCTCGTTCTACTATACATTTACACAAACTCTTTAGAAGGCTACTTGTTTTTCTGTCCCTCTTGCTTTCTCTATGCCCTGCGCGTTTTAAACTCACCAAGCCTTTCTTCCTCATAATATGTCCTAGAAATTTCAACTGTCTCTTTCTAATTCTAAGTATAAGTGTTCTTTTTGTTTCTATTTCCCTTAAAACTTCCTCATTGTTTACATGATCAGTTCATGATATTTTCAGTATTCATTTGTAGAACCACGTCTCTATTGCCTCAAGTCTTCTCAGGTGTGAGGAGATTGTCAAGCATGCGCTACCATAGGAGCACTGATATTACGCAACAGTTCAGCAATGTGAGTTCTATTTTACTCGGAGATTATATTTTTATTTCTGATCCATGATGCTTACTAAACGATAACAGAATAGAAAAACGACCTGAGCGCTGTGAAAAAAAAAAAAAAAACTAACATAAGAAGGGAAACTGCTATGAAATTCATGACAACGACAATGCCTAATCTAAGAAACTAGGATAACTTAAAACTTCTGCGTCTACTCCTTCAGGACCTGGATGATCATGGTCCTCCACAACATCCCGTATTTTGTAGCCCTTAGTAAAGGTTATATTTTTGCCATATCTCGTAATCCCTTTTCTGCCAAGCATTTAAGCTCGTCTGGTGGGTTAGGCGCTGTTTTCTTTTATACTTCTTGCATTCATTATGTCCTTTGAGTGTCAAATTTTCCAAGCCTTCTTTCCTCATTATGTGCCCTAGAAGTTTCAACTGTCTCTTTCTGATGTTAACTATAAGTGTACTTTTTCTTTCCAGTTCGTCTAAAACTTCGTCTTTGCTCACATGGTACATGGCATTCCTAGCATCCTTCTGTATAACCACATTTCCGTTGCTTCAAGTTTCTTCTTCATCTATGAGGAGATTGTCCAGCATTTACTGCTATAGAGGATTGATATTACGTAACAGTTCAGTACTCTTTTCTTTGTTTCTAAGTGAATTTTCTCGTTTCTTAATACTTTGCCCTCTCAATAGTCGGTGTTAATCAATGATATTGAATAAAGGGGTTAAACTAGAATGTCGCTATATGACTAAACCTGAATGAAGTTTGGCTTGCGATAAGTCGATATCCAGTTAGGCTCCCCAAGCAAACAAAATCCTGTGGGGACACGACTACTTTATCACATAGCTTGATATTTTAGTTAACAAAATCTACTTTTTATAGAAAGTAAAAAGCGACTTGAGATTTCTTTTTGTAATGCAAAGAAAACAAGATGCAAATACAGTCTTCTTTTATGTACCGTGTCCATTCAGGACGTTAGCGATTATGATTCTCCGAACTTTCTACCCTAACGTCTCTCACAGCTTACGGCCATATCACATATATCGGTTTCCGTACGATCACCGAAGTTAAGTAACGTCAAGCTTGGTCAGTAATTAGATGGATGACCTCTTGGAAATATCAAGTGGTGTAAGCTTAGATGAGCGGGTACTGTAATGGATAATGGCTCGGAATTGTTAATTGGAGAACCGAGTTCCAATTCTCGTTGGGTACGTAATATTCGCAAGTACCATTTGGAAAGGCATGAACCTCTTCTGTCCCCAGTCATGGGTTAATTAGTAAGACTTGTATCACTAAACTAGTATTATCTACTCCCCCGTCTTACAGTCTAAAAATATTTTCTGGCTATAAATAACCTGCAAAGGGTTGATAAGCCGTAGAAAACGAATCAAGCAAGCAATCTACCTGTTCTGTCATCCTTTTGCAGAAGCTCCTTAGGTAGGTTACTCGCAGTTTCCCTGTGAATCCTCTTGCTTTCAGTATACTATGTGAGTGTCCGATTCTCCAAGCCCTCTTTCGTCCTTATTTGTTCGAGAAACTTCATTTATTTCTTTCTGATCTCAAACACAATTATCCTTTTGATTCTCGTTTTCCTTAAAACTCGCTCGTTGGTCACATGATCCGTCCATAGCATGCTCAGCATCCTCCTCTAGAACCACATCACCATATCTCTGTTCCCTCAAGTTTACCTTTCACCTGTGAGGAAAATGTCCAGCATTCACTTCGATATAGGTGGATTGATATTACATAGCAGATTCGCAATCTTTTCTTTGTTCTTAACGAAATTTTCCTGTTTCTTAATATTTGTTTAGCTTTTGGAAGTCATCTTCCAATGCACATTCAGTTTTCTGTGTCACATTTTCCATCGTCTGTTCTAACACTTCCCCGATAATTCAATTTCTGTATTTGCTTGAGTTTGACGTTTCCCTAAAGACAGTTATGATTCTAGAACATGAAACGAAAAAAAAAAAAAAAAAAAAAATAGCTCGAAACTAACTTCAGGAATTAATTTAAGTTTTAATTAATGTTTTTCATTTGTTAGAGAAAAGATTGTCTTTTCATTTTTCTTTTCATTTTTCTTTTATTTTTTTCTTTCTTAAATGCCTCGCTCTGTAGAATGTTGATGTACCAATAAATTTAAATTTCTTCTCAGACAAAATTACTAAACTGCCTTACCGAAGTTTTTATGGCAATTTCAATGTGTATTACTTATATTCTTCGTTCTTAGACCCAGAGGCGTTCTTAGAATCACCGAGAGAACGGTTGGTGAATATAGACCCCAGAAAGTTTCAGAATGTTACAATATTCAGTTGTCTTATGTTCTCGACACCATCGTTTCTTTTCTCTATCACATTTTATGGACGACGATAGAATTTCTTTTCGTTTTCATGTTTCTAGAGAGATAGCAGTATTAATTGTAGTTGCTCTTCTTCTTCTTCTTCTTCTTCTTCTTCTTATTATTATTATTATTATTATTATTATTATCATTATTATCATTATTTTACTTTTCCCAAAAGACAAAGAATAAAGGATGGCATTATAGATTCAAATTAAAAAGAAAAGAAAAAAGTACACACCGGAAAATCTTAGAACGCGAAAGTGAAAATAAATACACGCTTGTTGAAGTGAAAACTGATCGTTCTTCGTTTGTAAAGTATCACACATATCACAGAAGACTAAAGCCATGGATCCTAAATACACATCTATATAGTCTACTTGGATCTTTGAAAAGTGACCTCTCCGCCGTGTCAAAAAAAAAAAAAAAAAGCGAAAAGCAAAAATATTTGAAATAAATTAAGACCGACAAAGTTTTAAGGATAATAGGAACTACGGAGAAACTGCTAATTACAATGAGGAAGATACAGCTGAAATATGTGGGGATATAATAAAGAAAGAAGGCTCGGCGAAATTAATACACATTGGGCATGGTCGATGCAAAAAAAAAAATGATGAGGAAAACCAGCGAGTAATCTACTTGACGCAACTGAGTAAGCAGATGACAAAAGAGTACAACAAAACCAGAGAATGGTTAGAAAAGAACAGAACTGAGGTAAAAAAACATATAAAGATCCTCCCACCCAATTTGTAGAGGGCCGTTATCACCTACGACCTGCAAGGAAATGGCTGGTATGTTTTCTCTTAATACTGATCTGATAGAAAATAAAGTTCAGTTGTACAATAGGCACTGTGCCAAGAAATAAGCATTTCTTTCTCAATTTTGTTTCATATTATTATAGATTAAACACCCCAGATCACGATTATCGGAAAAAAAATGTAATAAAAATTAAGACGGGGTCCCGTTTGTTATGTAAATTTTATTGCTGCCACATATAGTCCGGTGCTCTTGCTATTTATGATAAAATCCAAAGAAGAATCAGCAATATTATTGGCTCTGATCTGGCGTCTCGGCTTCAGACACATATCCCACCACCGTAAAGTTGCCTCTCTGTGTCTTCTATAAATAATTTCATGAGCTCTGCGCTACGATACCTAAACATTTTCAATTTAAGCGCAGTAGTAAACAGGTGTCAAGATCTTATCAATTTACAGGTGAGTTGGCTAAATGTAACCATAAATTTTGTGCTAACAGTTTTTTTTTTCTCAGACTTCTCACTTGTGGAACTCCGTTCCAGCTCCATGATTTGCAGCTAATTTTAATCTTCAAAAATTCATATACAATGTCAACCGCTATCTACTGACCTGCTGATTACTCTTCTTTTGTTTTCGCTCTTTAGTAACGCTTCTGTTTCTAATTCTTCCACAACCAGTGACTCTTTGTGTCTTAGTAGCTTTACTGCCTTGCTTGGGGTGAACTCGATTAAAAGCCCCCAAATGATTGCTCTGTGGAAGTCAAATCGAATATATTCATGCGACAAGTACGTTGAGTAGTGAGATGAAGGGTCGTTGGGGAACACTGGATGCTGTAAGCGACCTCCTACAATTCGAAATATGTTTCGGTTTTAAATAATCCGCAAAGGGTTGATAAGCCGTAAGCAAACAAATCAATCAAAGGATCAATTCTGAAGATGCAAAAAAATTAAACAAAGAAAAAAAAAGGAAATGAAAAGAAAAAAGCAAAAGATGAAAATAAAAAATAAAATAAAAAAGATAAACATGAAAAGAAAAAGAAAAGAAAAAATGAAAAAGATAACATTGAAAAGAAAAAAGAAAAAGAAAAAATGAAAATAAAAAGAAAATAAAAAATAAAAAAGATAAAACTAAAAAGAAAAAAGAAAAAGAAAAGCATGAAAAGAAAAATTAAAAAGGATAAATTAAAATAAAAAATAAAAAGCAGAAATGAAAAGAAAAAAGAAAAGAAAAAATGAAAAGAAAAGCGAAAATAAAAAGAAAAAAGAAAAAAACTTAAAAGAAAAAAGAAAAAGAAAAACATGAAAAGAAAAATTAAAAAAAGATTAAAACTAAAATAAAAAATAAAAAGCAGAAATGAAAAGAAAACGAAAAAACATGAAAAGAAAAAAATGAAAAGAAAAACATGAAAAGAAAAAAGAAATAAAAAAAGAAAAAATGAAGAAAAAAACATGAAAAAAAGGAAAAGAAAAAATCAAAAGAAAAAACAAAAACAAAATTCGTAATCTTATGTCTTTTATTTTTCTATATTACTACCGATTAAACACTCCGGATTAAGAATTTCAATTGTTTTTTAAACTCTGTTTTTTTTTTTAAATTTTAAGAAATTACATCGTATGAGTTTATTTATTCTGGCTTCATTTTGATTATTTGTGAAGTGATGTTTCTTATGTGCATGGATTACACTAAATTTCGACAAATGGCAAGTCAATATACACACACATATACACACACATACATATCATATGCATAAGTAATAACAAAGATTGTTTTCGCCTTAAAAAAAAAAAAAAAGAAAAAATTGAGTCGACTATTATATAACTGGAGGATAACGCTTTTAAGGTAAGCAGTTTCTTCTAAATAAAGTGCCCAATATTGAGAAATAGAGCATTATTAGAAAATAAAATAAAAAGTTAAAAGATATTTCTTAATAAATTGAATTGATTTTGTTGCCCCTGAAGAGCGGAGTATTTTCAGTGTAACTGGAAATTGGGAGATGAATCCTTGAACTTTTTATTGTAATTTGTTTACTATACATTTATGCACACACAGACACTCACGCACACATATACACACATCATTAACATTATTTTCTTATGACACCGTTTCATCGGCAAAACATGTCAAAATAGATGCTTTCCAAATTGTCTTATTGTCCTATATATTTACCATATATATATATATATATATATATATATATATATATATATATATATATATATAATTAATTTAGCTCTACCTGCATTACAGATGAGAAAAATGTCTTTAGAGACAATGTCATATTATCTTTATTTTTCATTTAGCGATGTGATTGTTATTTCCTAAATAATTCGATAAGAATCATATAGATTAGTTACTCTCTTCGTCCCAAACTGTGGGGCACCCAGTGAGGACAGAACTCAATACACAGTGATAATGATCTGCAAGAAATAATATCATAACACGTGTAGAAAAAGACAGTAATTAAATAGATTATGTGAACGCATCTTAATTTTATCTATCTATCTATCTATCTATCTATCTATCTATCTATCTATCTATCTATCTATCTCAGTCTCTTTATGTCTATCAATTTATATGATAAGAAGAGTAGTTTTTTTTGGTTTGTTTTGTTTTGTGACATATCAACTACAATGGGTTGGGCACCTCGGCGTGGTGTAATGGTTAGCAAGCTTGTCTCGCTAGATCAGTTACAACTGAAAAGTGAGTTCGATCCTCACTAGATGCCCCATACTTTCGGCCTTGTGCCACATCGAAGCTATGCTTGGAAAAAAAACTATTATGGGGCACCTCGAGGAGGTGTAATGGTTAGCAAACCTCGAGGAGGTGTAATGGTTAGCAAACCTCGAGGAGGTGTAATGGTTAGCAAGCTTGGCTCGCTAGAACAATTACAACTGAGTAGTGAGTTCGATCCTCACTGGGTGCCCCCTAATTTCGGCCTTGTGCCACATCTAAGCTATGCTTGGAAAATCACTATCAACTACAATGGGTTACTTAATGCCGACAAAATTTCCTTTTTTTTTCCAAAATGTATAGCTGGTAATTT